AAAGTACTTTAAACTGTATAAATAATGTAAAATTAAATTGATTTAAACAGCCAATCATACGAATGTCTGCCTATGAACTTATATATTAGATTGCAATATTACAAAATTACAATAATATATTATATTGTGATTTTGTGATGTTATGACATTTTTATAATCAAATTTTATATTAAAAAATCGCACGCATCGCAACCCCTAGTTGCGGCATAAAAAGTCGCAATGAGTATTTGCAGCAAGCAATACTAATTACATCCGAACTTAATTTGGTTGGTCAGTTTTACAGCGAAACCAACGATATACTGTATAGTATATAGTTTTATATAACCCAATAATATAGCTTGATAAATGATTATAGTTTATATAAAAAATTGCATAGGTACTGTTAATAAAACAACAAACCATATAATTCTGATAATTTCAGTATTTTAATTCAGCAATTAGTGTTCTCTGATTAGTACGCGTCTGGCTCACAGGTTAGCGATACTTGAGTCAAACAAGCCTGATAATGGATGTAATAAGCATCATCCTACTAATCATTGTTTTTATTATCTATAACAAAACTATTTATTAAATTACATAAAGATTTAGAAATTAGAAGCTTGGAAAAGGTAAAGTTTTTTTTTAAAGTACGAATTACTCGCTTGCTCAGGCTCACTGCTGATTAGTCTGAAGGCTGGCTAAATGTTCTTCTAATTGGCAAAGCTCAGCTTGCTTAGTTAAAAGAGCTTGTAATTCTTCTTTAGTTAAAATGTTTTTTAAAATTTTTTGGTAAGCATCTAATTCCCCTTCTAGCCGTGATTGAGTTACGTGATCGATATTTTTTTTACTAATCTCCTGTTGGGTTGTTAACAATAAATCAACTATATGTTCAAAATTATTTTCTGCCTTTTTTTTGGCAGTGATAATTAGTTGCTCTAAATTTGTTTTTTCTCTCCTTAGTTTTGGAGCTAATTCTTGGAGTTTAAGTCTAGTGATTTCTTGCTTAAGTTGGAGAAAATTATAAGATTGGTTGGGAAAAATAATTTGCGAGAGTTCTTGGGATTCTCTTAGTCGAAATCGGCAAATATCTTTAATTACTTGAGCAAATAAGCGAGTGTTTTCTTCAATTTCACGATAATAATTTAAGAAACAATTCTCTAAGTCAGGAGTACTAGTATAAAAAGAAAATTCTGTAATCCCAGTATTATAAGTACTTATATACCTAATCCTGGTTGATGGCGCTAATTTTAAACTTCTTATATGTGGATTATTTCCGAGGTCCACAGTAATTAAATTAGAATAATCTGTCAAGTCTAAATCACCTTCCATGTCCTTACCAATAACAATAATATCGCTAACGCTTTTATCAAAATTCTTATCCACATATTCTTGTGTATTTACCATATCTTTATTTTAATATATCTAAATCGTAGAGTTTTGAGCTAGAGAAAATTCTACAAATCCAATTATCCCTTTATTAAATTACTAATACTCCTTGTCTATTCTCTGGAAATGTTTTATCTAGCTTAGCTTTTGTTGTAAAAGAACTAAAATTTTTTTTCCAAATTTTGTTACTTTCTATCTTACTGACTCCACAAAATTTTTGTATTTATTATAAATTTGTTTATCACTCATTGTACGTACGTACGTACGTACCCTAAAAACCATCACTTTATATGTAATAAAGTTGACTAACACACTGGAGATATGCTAAAATTCAGCAGTGGCTTATTTGCAGTACGTACGCATACAATAGTTGCTAATTAAGTATATATTATTCTTGCCATATTATTTCTATGCAAAGAGATTGATAATTCTGGACCCTTCACTTTATTGAGATTGACAATTTAAGAAATATATTCAACCTTCAATTGATGCATTATTCCTATATAGGGAAATTTAAATTTTTTGAATTTCTTGCACGTACACTCCCCCTGACAAAAGTCACCGGCTTTTTAATAATCAACTAATTTATTAATGATCGTAGCCACATATAAAACATTAATTTTTTATATGCAAATCGGTCTTTGCATAGTAAGTAAAGTTGATAATCATGACGATTTGCATATAATTTGAAATTTTTAGAAAATTTCAATAAATTTTTTAGGTATTTTAGACCTTTATTAACAAAAATAAATAAAAAAACAAATATACTTTTTATATGGCAATGCATTTTTGAATATTTTGTAATTTTTTATAAAAATTTAATCCTATATACATCCGAACTCAGAAAATAACTTTAATTAAGACCTTAACTGATGTCAACAATATAGTTTTCTAGAATTGTTGTGTTTAACTAAAATTTTCAATTTAAAAAAAATCATGTTTTAGTATTTAAAATTTTATATAATAAATTATCAGTAAAAATCTATAAAAATATGATCCTAAAAATAAACCATATATATCATATTATATTTAGGGTTGGTCAAATCACTGGTCGACCAAAATTTTGTTGGTCAAACTGGTCTGGTCAAATTGGTCAAGTGGTCTGGTCAAATTGGTCAAATGGTCTAGTCTATTAAATAAATAAATTTAGTATACAAAGTAAATATATATATATATATATATGTGTATATATACTATATATTTAAATATTCTTTGACCAATTTGATTAATACTAAACTTTTTGATCAACTGGTCAAATTGGTCAAACTAGTCTGGTCAAGCTTGACCATTAACTGGTCCATGCCAACCCTGATTATATTATACAATATAAATTTTATTTTAGTAAGCGATTTTTTTTTTTAACAATTCGGCAGTCTTGCCTTTACTTTATTAGGCTTTGTAATAATTATCTAAACTATTAAAATTTTCTATAGAGATATACTCTATAGTACCTAAATTATAAGTGAAGACTCACCCAGTTGCTCACTAAGTACCTATGTGTGACCTGCTATAGTAAGATTTGCCTCTGTATTATCTTATCCTGCAATTGGCTTCAATAATACGTCACTAGCTGGATCTTACCGCCTATCAAGACTACATATTAATTTTTCACCAACCTGCTTGTTGACCTTCTTCTATCCACCTTAATACCTCTTTTTTTAGTTATCTCTAAAATTGAACCCCATCTTTTATCTTCTTCTTCATTCTCATCCTTTTCTTTTTTCCTAGTACGTTTATCTGGTGGTTTCTTCTTCTTCTTTACCTTTCTTGCCTTTCTGTATAAATTTCTTTTATCTTTGGGTCTGATTCCATTTTCTTTCTTCCATTCTTGCACTAGTTTATATCTTGCAACCCATATTCTCTCATAGACTTCTTTCATCTAATTCTTCCAAAGTCCACCTAAAAAGCTCTTTGCTTGGTTATTTGAGTTAAAAAGAGGTCTCAACTCATCGAAGTCTTCTTTTGTGATTAGGCCTCTGAACCATCTTTCTCTTCTACGTAATTCTTCAGCTTGGGATCCCTTTCCTAGCATTATTAAAACTTCTTCTTTGGTTGTCTCCATGCTTTCTACCTTTTTTAATTTCCGTAAGGTTGCTTCTACAACTTGTTCCTCTAAATCATGGAGAAGGTTCAGAGACATTTCACAGCTTACCAAGTGTTCTACATTCTCCTTCTTTTTTTACATATAACACATTTGGCTGTCTTGTATATTTCCGGTCTTCTCTAATTGAGTTTCTCGAAAACTGGAAGCATATTGTTTATACACTTTATTTCAAAGGGCTGTAGTGTATTTGATTTGAAAGTGAGGTTTTGTTATCTAGTTCCACTTCTCAATATGTTGCACAGCATGAACCAAGATTGAGTGCTCTTTCTTTCCTGATAAGTCTTATCATACATATTATGTAAGAAAGCCTATTCTGCTTTCAATAGCACTCTCTCCAACATTTTGACAAAGGAACAGATAGGCTTTTCAACTAATTTACCTTCTCATGTATATCTTATTTTGTGGCTTTTTATATATAATATTTCTGGGTTTAAGTACTCCGTTGACTTGGAACCTTCTTTTGCTTTCAAATCTGTGAGATCATTAAATATATCACCTAAGTAACCCTTGATCTTTATAAAGTGTGTGTTTAACTCCTTTGTTTTAATCACCTCTACAATTGTTGTTACCAAACCACAATTCTTAGTCTTCAACCAAGGTCTTATCTTGTCTGTTTCCAGGCCCCTTTTGATTGCTAATATTGCTGCTTTACTATCTGCCTTTATCTCTACTCTTCTTTTTCGAAGTTAGTAATGCAAATAATATTGCTACCATTTCTGCTCTTGTAGATAAGAACCAACTCTTCGTTGCATAAGATATTTGTTGTAATAGATGACCTGTTTCTGTGGTTTGAATTACTCTGCATCTCATTACTAATTTTTTTTCCTTCTCAGCAGTACCGAGTGAGCCATCTGTATAAAAAAATAAACTATCTAATTCTCTATTTTGTTCCAAATTTTTTGCTATTCTAGATCTAATTGCATTATTCTGAACTATTCTATTAATTAAAACCATTTGCACTCTATATCTATTTTACCCTTCTCTTTTATTTTTTTTATTTCTTTTGCTTTAACAAGCACTTTCTCTTCTTTTTTACCAACTATCCCTTCTACAGGGGGCTACCAGTGTATTGTGAACACTTTTTAAAAATTTATATTGGAATAAATAAAAAAGATATAAAGCTGAAGATTATACAAAATATTATACAAATCTAAAGCTTTTAAATAAAAAAAAAATT